CCGGGCCCGCGACTGGGCCAGCGACCCACCCGCGACCCACCCGCGACCCACCCGCGACCCACCCGCGACCCACCCGCGACCCACACGCGACCCTTCCCGCGACCCACCCACATCGATTTCACGAAAGAACGGCACCTGCGGCGGGCTCGTTATACAAATTGTAAAAAATTCGGCGCCTGCGGCGGGTTTCTTCAGAACCTCGCAGACAGCAGACATCCCCGCCGCCCGTCATTCTTACCCGCGACTGCTGGGTGCTGCGTATGATACTGAATTATGGGAAATATCAGAACATATGATGCATCATGGATTAATGATGAGATGGAATGCGGGAAAACACTACACTTTATTCTAATGTACCATACTGTGACATAATGTGGTGAAACGGAAGAACATGAAATGTAATATACGATTTGCAATGACATGAAGCTTTCGGGGGGGTCCGCAACGAGGCCTCCCTGCACTGACCAACCCACACGCAAGCGCACGAGGAGCTGACCTGCATGGCCGGGGAACTACGGTAGATCATGTCGAGCGCCCGAGGGTGACGATAATTAGGGCCTCTGGCAGAACAACAAGAACAGGCAGCAGCGCTACCACCAACGGAACCACTACAGCCAGCCGCAGAGCAACCGACGGCAAAGGCCTTGTCCACGTACCCGAGAACTCCCGAGAGCTGGTCCGTTCGCATGGACTTCCAGCACGGAAGGCTGAACAAGAAGGGATCAGAAGAGCGATGCTTCTGCGTTGCGTGCCACGCACCGAACAAGAGCCACAGGGGACGTACTCCAGATTTCGTAATAAAAGGGAGGGGGTCTGGACCCTCCAAGACAAGCCATTTCAGACCCCCCCCCGTGGGAGAAACCTCCAAATCATCGTCCCCAGACCCCCCCAGGCCCTCCAAGATAGCTTGGAAGAGACCCCCCCCGAAATGAGACCCCCCTCCCTTTACTACGAAATCTGGAGTATCTACAAGGGCTGTTTCATGATGCTCCGAGGGAGCAGTCGGGCGGCAGCCGCCCTCCACGAACGAATCGCTATGCAGGCCAGAGACCAGCAAGAACAACTTCCACCTGCTCCAGCGCAAGGTACTCCAGATTTCGTAATAAAAGGGAGGGGGTCTGGACCCTCCAAGACAAGCCATTTCAGACCCCCCCCCGTGGGAGAACCCTCCAAAACACCATCCCCAGACCCCCCCAGGCCCTCCAAGATAGCCTGGAAGAGACCCCCCCGAAATGAGACCCCCCTTCCTTTATTATGAAATCTGGAGTAGTCAACTCTCTCCTGGCCACGGTGCCAGGGCAGGCAGCGGAAGCTCGGAGCTCGCACGCCTCCGTCGAAGATGCTGGCGCAGCAGAGGCTGTGGGAGGCTGTGGAGCAAACGGCCATCGCCAAGGTCATGACCGAAGTCTCATCCGCTTCAGCGGCCAGCTCCTGCTGATGATCTGGCCAGGAACAAGAACGTGATACCAGGCACACAATGACAGTGGAGGCGATCCACATGTTCACGTTTGAGCAGCGGAAGGTGAACGAGAACACAGCGGCTGATATTCTTCATCTTTCAGAGCGTCTCCACACACTGGAGTGCAGTCCCACCGACACGCAATGTGAACAGGCAGATTTGGCTGTCGACAGGACACACATCAAGAAACTGCTGTCAGAGCTTACCACACGTACGGACTCCATTGAGGAGAAGATGGTATGCTGGTGGCACACGGGCGAGCAGCAGGACTGGACGGAGCAGGAGCACAGTAACGAGATCGACTTCGACGAAGCCTTGAGGGTGGTGGTCGCCACCCGCAACCAAAAAGCTGGTGCCGACATAGTCCCCGAGAAACGGGGAGCAGGGGCTGCTGGACAGCGTTTGGTGTGAGTTCGACCCTTTGAGACCGCAGATCTCAACGACCCCGTCCTTCGGAGCCAGGGAAGTGAGCTCCTGTGGACATCTGCTTGCTCAGGCAGCGCTCCCCGCTCCCGGCCACGCTGCATGCCATCTATTGGGGGGCGGAAAGATACGGATACGTGTTGTCCCCTGACCTCTCTTGGGGTGCGTTCTGACCAGAATTTCGAAGCGAATCCAGCGGTGACAACGAGGATTCCCCAGGAGGACCAGGAAAGGCCGAAAACGAAGGTGGACAACACGTATTCGTATCTTTTTCTCCCCCGAATCTAGTGGACTACTCAGCACAGCGGCTTAAAAATCGGAAGTCGTTGCAGCTGGGCAGAGCGCGGCAGGCCCCTCGCTCGGGGAGCCTGGGCCGGCAGCATCTCCACCATGATTCAAACGCAGCGGAGCTTCTCATGCCAAGTGAGCTGCAACGCGCAACAACAAGCACCACTGGGGCGCAGAACACCACCGCTGCGAGTCGCGGCGCCGACTTCTCGACGGCTCTTCAGCCAGACAGCAACTTGCTCCCTAGTGCACTTCCAGCACTGGCGACTGCAGCACCTGCAGTGCAGCCGGATCCGGGTGGAAGCACCCGCGGTCCAAGCGGAGACGCAGCAAATCATTCATTCGCAGGCGTCAGCGGAAATAGCATCACAGGCTGCGGTTTCCAGGGGCATGCGCCAGCTTCCCCTGGTGCGTGGGCCGGCTCAGCGTCTGATCAGCGCACCGGAGCTGGCCCCGCAGCCACAGGGGTTGCACTGAACCAGGTGTCTCATCACCGCCTGTCTTGGCAGCAACACAGCTAGACCAGAAAATGAGCCCGCAGGGGCTGAGTCTCCTGCTGAAACTCTTTCAGGTCATGCGAGAACTGGCAAGACTTGAATACCCCAACGGAGCCCAATGGGAGGAAGGTCTCGGGACCAAAGAAGCGAGCCCCAGGGTGCCCCGTGAGGGGGCTGGGGGGCAGCACGGAAGAGGCCCTCTTTATGCCATGTGGGGAGACGCAGAGGGGGCGCAGAGAAAGTCTCCAGCACGCCAGACGGATGGGAGGCTGGTAGATAGCATGCGAGAGCCTTATGGAGCCCAGAAACAGCTCGGTGGAACCTGATACAAGGAAGCTGGGGGGGGGGCCCCTAGACGAAGCCCAATGCACCCTACGCGGGGGAGGCCAAGGGTCCCCGAGAGACAGCCCCGTGGGGCCCCATGGGAGGGCGAGTCCGTGAGACCACGGGGGGCAACTGCATGGAGCCCCACTGGGGTGAGCTGGGAAACCGCGGCAAGCAACAACCCCATGGAGCTGGGGAGGGTCTTAGACACCATTGCGAAGGGCAAGATCGACTTGGGCTCTCGCAGAATAGGATTTGACGGGCGTGTTGGGGAAATGCGAATAGACGCCATCAAAACAAGACGCAGCTGCCCCAAATGCAAAGCATGTGTTTGACGATGCATGCTGAGAGGTTGTTAAGCGAACGAGTTGCAACGGTGTTCGTTGATCTTATTATATGTCTCTTCCGAATTCCGGGCAGGGCCACCTGTGCCAAAACAGCTATGTCCTAGGAAACCTTCTGGCAGTACCCCATAGGAGAGGGAAGAGGATGGGAAGGCGACCGCCGATATACACCAAGCTCGGCGTCAACTGCAATGCGGATCAAGCAGACGCTGGGCAAACCGGGAACACCACAGAAGCCGAACTGCAACAGTCAGACTTACGCAGCGACACGTGGCCTGAGGGGGGGTAAAATGCACCTCCAGCCTTGAAAAAAAGGGAGTCTCAAATTTGGGGCCTCCAAAGGCTGGATCCGACCCTGGAACCGTTACAAAACACTTCAGGACGAGAAGCCGGCTCCGGGGAAAGCGTCGAGACGACAGGGGAGGCCGGGGTCCGGCGATCTGATTTTTCCCGTGCGCGGCCCCAGGGGGCTCTGATTTTTGTTGGCGGGGCCAGATTTCCACGCTGGATACACGACTGACGGTCTCGGAAGCGGCCAAGAGCGGGGCGTCCAAGAGGGGGGGGCGCAGATCATGGCCGGCGTCATGTGCGCGGCCCCGGGGGAGGGGGGACCAGGGACGTAATGAAATGAGAAGAGGCGCCATGAGATCTGGCGAAACATCATGGCCCACGCCATGATATCCACCCCCCCCAGTCATCACCCCCCTCTTTGACGCCCTCGACGGTCCCGGGGCCCGATGGCGGGCCCTGGAAACCAAAATCGCGACAGCGCCCAGACTTAAAAAATAGACCACGTCGACGGAGATCTCCGTGGATCGGCGCGGGGGCTGCTGCGGGCAGCGGATGCCAATATACTAGGCCAGACCTGGCCAAACCCAGCTAGCTTACCAGTGGGCTGCAAGTGCCCAAACGGGCTTAGTGGAATTTGATGACTTCGCTAAGTGGGTAAAGCCCACTTAGCCTGAATAGTTACCCCCCTAAGCCGCTCATGGCCCTTGTACCCCACAAATAGGTTGAGTCAGGCCAAACATGACCCACTTTGGCATCCACTGATGATCACTCTATCCCTCCAGAAACCTCCGCGCCGATCCGGGCGGGCACGTCGTCCATATGTTCCCCCACCCATCCTGGACGGAGACGGGCCATCGCTGCTGGACACGCGGCAGGCGCCGCTGGCCTGAGGGGCACCGACATGCGGGGACCAGCTAAACGGGGGAAACATCGACTTGGAATCGGCGATGAGTCGCCGATGCACCAGCAATACCTAGGCTCACGATAGCAAATCCGCATGCTCATGCGCGGGGCGGGTTATCGGGCACCTGTCGGCGATGAGCGGGCGAGTGGAGGTCCGTGCAGTCTGCCCTGAGCCTCCCGCCCTGCACGGTTTCCCCCCGGGGCCGTGGGCGACCCGAGGAGGAGGAGGAGGGGGAGGAGGAGGAGCAGGGGGAGGAGGAGAAGGGGGAGGAAGAGATGGAGGAGGAGGTGATGGAAGAGGAGGAGGAGGAGGAGGAGGAGGAGGGAATGGAGATGGAGGAGGAGGAGGAGGAGATGGAGGAGGAGGAGGAGGAGGAGATGGAGGAGGAGGAGGAGGAGGAGGAGGAGGAGGAGGAGGAGGGAGGAAGAGGAGGAGAGGAGGAGGACAGGTCGCCTAAGCCCTGCGGAGAGGCCCCCCGCTCCCGCCCCCAGTGATCCTCGCCGTCTGGCCATCGGGGGTCACAGCTCGGGTCTCCCGCCGCCTTGCGGGGCGCTCTGGGCACAGCGCCCTCGGCGAGGCGCAGCCGCAGGAGAGCACATCCCGAGGCAGGAAAACCGCTCGCACAGGGTGGGGACGCTCTACAGTACAGTCGGGGCGTTGACCTAAGGAACCCAAAATAAGGAACGAGTTCCCTTTTTCTCATAAGTTAAACTTCGATCCCCCATGGGAAACCTCATGAAAATCCAACGCAAACTGTGAAGCTATCGAAGAACACCCAGCGCCCCGACTGTAGGGGCCCGACCACAAGAAGCCTTCCACGAGAAAGCCAACCCTAATACCCCAGGGCGTCCATTGGTTTTTGGTATGGGGCCGCCACGCTTTCCATCGCAGAACTATCGAAACCCAAGAAACCCAGGGCACCCTGGAGGCAAGCAGGGTGTCTCTTGGCATGGGCTTCCACTGTACCGTTACCCTGGTTGGCCGCCCCCGGCGGCGCCCCATGGCTCTCCGCCGAAGCCGAGGACACCACGCAGGCCGAGGCGGCGGAGCGCGCTGGCCGACCGCCCCCGCTGCGGCTTCTGCTGGCGCCAGCGGCGGGCCTCGCGCTCATCGGCCGCGCAGCATCTCCAGGGGGGCCCCGCCTCGTCAGCCTGGGCCCGAGACGGCTGTGGGCGGGCTGGATCTGCCATGCCCCGAACACCTGGCGCAGCCTGGCGGCCGCGCGGGCAACCCCAGCCCGAGGGCCCCGGTGGAGCCGTCTTGGCCCCTGCGGCACCGAACGGCCACTCCGCGGGCACAAGTGGACCCAGGGAACACCTGATGGCATGAACGTTACCTGTCGGAGGTCCGCCGGGATCTCTTTTGGATCGGTGCTGACCCCCTGGCGGCGCTTCCGACGCCGCCCCTGGCGCGCTTCGTTCGCCAGGGAGGCGGGGTCCAGCGCCATTCCGGAAAGTCCGCGCGAGCCCCCGAGAGGCTACTCCAGATTTCGTAGTAAAGGGAGGGGGATCTCATTTCGGGGGGGGGTCTCTTCCAGGCTATCTTGGAGGGCCTGGGGGGGTCTGGGGACGATGTTTTGGAGGGTTCTCCCACGGGGGGGGGGTCTGAAATGGCTCGTCTTGGAGGGTCCAGACCCCCTCCCTTTTATTACGAGATCTGGAGTATGTTTATGACGTTGTTTGTTCCTCCACATCCAAGGAAGCCCGCCTCACCGGTCCGGGCCCGAGACAACTGTGGGCGGGCCCTGAGATCCTGGCGCCGCATTTCGGGACGCAAAGGGGCATAGTGGTACTGTGCGCGGATGTTGAAAACGCACGTCCGACGTGAACATGTAGCGCAACATCTTGTAGCATGAAGCCTCCGACCAGCATGGCCAGAAAGCGCCCGCCGCGGAACGTATACGATATGAGGTCACGGATCTATACACACACGACCATCATTCGGGCGATAAGGACGTTGGGGGGAATAATAAAACAAGTAAGGACAACTGCGGTGATCGCTACGCTGGCGATGAGATCGCGAGTTGGATGAAACAAATGCCTGTCGAGATCACCATCGATATCACATTCGATATCCTGCCAACATAACTACCAATCAGATTACCAAAATTACCATCGTTCCCACCATCGACATCACTAACGATCCCACAATCGAGATCACTAACGATCTCATTCGAGGGCCCCGCAATCGATCCCACAATCGATATCACTATTAGCCCAACGGTCGATCTCAATATCGCCCTCACTGTGGATTGCACTATCGACCCCGCTCTTGATACCAGTATCGATTTGGCAACCGAAATCATTATCGATGTCACGATCGCTACTACTATCGATCCCACCATCGATCTCCCTATCGATATCACGACCAATTACACCGTTGATTTCACCAGTGATCTCACATCACTGTCATAATCGATCACACAATCAATCTCACTACATCCGATTCACGATCCACTTCACTATCGAGCCCACTATCAATCTCACCATCGATCTCACTATCGATGTCACTGTTGATCTCACTATCGATCTCCCCATGGATTGGCCACTGCGGCAATGCTGTCAGAGACTGGCGCCGCGGCGGCACGGAATGCAATCGGATGCTGTTGATGCGCCCCCGAGCTGGATGAAACAAACGTCTATCGATCTCACTATCGGCCTCACTGTCGATGTCACCGTCGATCCCACCATCGATCATACTATCGATTCACCAACGCCATCGCGGACAAACAAATACCACCTCCACTGCTGGACGATGGTGATCGTGGTGAGTGTGATAGTGGTAACGACGATGATGCTGATGATGATGGTGACGATGATGATGATGATGCTGATGATAATGCTGATGATGATGCTGATGATGCCGATGATGCCGATGATGAGAATGATGGTGAGTATGATCGTAGTGATGCACCCACGACATCGTCTCCGAACGCAGAACCGCGCCAGCGGGACAAGGCTCGAGTTAGGAGAAATCCGGGCCCACGTGGTCGGAAATGTTTGGCAGAGCCTCGGCCTTTTCACTATCGATCTCACTGTCGATGTCACGATCGATCTCAAAATCGATCTCACGATCGATCACACAACCAACATCACACTCCATGTCACAAACGATCTCACAATCGATCTCACCGTTGGTGTCACAAACGATGTTACTATCGACCTCATTCGATCTAACTATCGAATTCACCATCGATCGCACTACCGATCTCGCTACCGATCCGATCCCACTACCGTACTCACTGCCGATCTCACTTTATCGCCCTCACTCCCAATTTCATAAATCGATTTCACTGTCGACCTCACCATCGATCTCACGCTCGATCTCACGGCGGGAGACCCAGAGTCTCACAAAGGATCTCACTATCAAGATCACAAGTTATCTCACTATCCACATCAGGATTGATCTCACAAGCGATCTCACTGTCGATCGCACTCAATCAAACCAACTGTCGATGTCACTATCAATATCACTGTCGATCCCACTATCGATCTCACTGATCTCCTGAATCAATATTACTCTCGATCTCACTATCGATCTCAGTATCGCTCTCAGACGGTCAATCTCAGAATCGATCCCACTATCGATCTCAGTGTCGATCCCACTATAGATCTCACCACGGGACACCACGGGACACCGACGGGACACCGACAGGACACCGACGGGACACGAGGGGACACCCGCGGGACTCCGACGGACACCGACGGGACACCGAAAGGACACCGAAAGGACACCAACGGGACACCGACAGAACACCCTCGGGACACCATCCGGGCACCGCGGGACAACACGGGGCACCACGGGACACCATCGGGACAGCCGCGGGACACCCCCGAGGGAAAGCGACATCCACGGAGATGAAACGAGGTGAAGCGAGGCCAAGCGAGCGACGAGGGGCGGCACACACACCCACCCACGCACAAGGGAGCCAGACGCCAGTTGGCACACGCCCGCGCAGCTTCGCCTCGCCCGCACGCACGACACGAACACGAAACCCAACCCGATTTCCTGGTGGGGGGCTTTCCGTTCGCGCACACCGGAAGGGGCGAAGATCATTACCAATACCGCCATCCGCCTCTCTTCGCCAAGGCAAAATGCGCTTCCAGGCCCTGGTGAGAACGACATTGTAAGGCCCCTGCAAAATAAATGAAAAGAAACAGCGTCAACAACAACTCTCAAAAGTCCGCGCCGTTTTCCTCGCAGAGCTACGGAAGTGTATGTTTAACATACCGATTATTATCAACACTCGTGGTAATATTATGATTATTCGATAAGCGTCAGGTAATAGAGATGAGGGGGGGACCATCCTCCCGTTCCCAGGCGCATCAGGGGGGCCCGCCCTACAAGCCTGGGACTGCGCCGCGTAAACTCCCGCCATTCTGACATTCGCACAACACGGGCCCCCAGATGTCCTGGACCCCTTTACCGAGGACCGACGTTCCATCCTTTCTTATTGTTTTCCCACGTGAACCGGCGATGGGTTAGTTCCGCCCCTTGCTGGGCGAACTTACGTAGGTCACTCAAAATCGAATAATTCGGCAAGTTTCATTTGTAAGAGACAAGGCGGAATTGTTGTTCTGTGCTTTCTATTTTGGGGGGTTTTCGCGGGTCCCCAGGACCTATTCAAAACGGTCCAAAACGAAAGGTCTGTTTTTAGAGAAGGGTTTGGGGCCCGAAAAAACCCAAGCTGTCGACGTTGTGATTCTTCGGAGCGCGGCGTGGCGAGGGCCCCAAGAGGCTGAACATGTCAAAAATATTCCCCGCGTGTTCTTTCACGGGAACGACGCAAAACTGGAATTGGGACAAGGAGCATCCTCGGCCCGCGACACGTTTGCTTTTGCTTCTAGGCCGGGGTTCACTGCAGGAATTTGCCTGATTATCGCAGTTCGGCTCGAGTGAAGTTCCCGGTTTGCCTGGTTCCGTTTTGACATGGACCTGGGCTGGAAAGCGGGGGTTCGTCGGCGTTCACTGAGTTATTTCGCCACCCTTATTGTTTTTTTGCGAAGCCGGCCTTCCCGGAGTTCTCGGGTACCCCAGAGAAACGCGGAAGAACGCCAAGCAAGGCCGATCGACGGAAAGCATCGCCAAGAAACAACAAACAACGCCTAGAGCAATACCAAGCAATGCCCAGCGTCGCCACGCAACGCCAAGCAAGCGATGCCACGCAGTGCCTCTGGACGAGACGCAACTTTGCACCCCGCAAGGGATGAGGCCCGAGCGCGGCAGTGCGCCAACGGGCACCCCTGACCCGACCCATGGCACGAAAGGCACAGCAACGCAGGCAGGCAGTAGCAGCTTCGCTGCGCAGCCAAGACCTCGACGACATCAAGCAAGGAGAGTGGCCCTCAAATGACTCGCAGAGCTCCCCTAAGAGCGAAGCGGCGAAGCTCAAAAGTAATTCGAAAACGCTGGCGGGCGGGCTAGTTGGCTCGAAAAAACGACTGATGTGTTGCAAAATTTTGGTCGGTTAACAAATATATGCTCGGAGTCCAACAAGTCGTTAGAGCTCGGATGTGTGTCCCCCCATGTTCGATCTTATTCCGACTCAACATCTGGATATCTGGTCGATCGGGTGGATACTACTATCAAAAAGCATCGGGGCGGAATCGGGTGTTGAGTGTCATCTTGGCAACTGCTGACGGTTTTCTTAACGTACTCGAGCTGCGGATCAGCTACAGAGCTGACAGGCACACCAAATCAATATGAACTAATAAAGAGCGCTCGTCTCAAGTATCTAGACGCCTGATATCGGTCTGCTACCAGGGCTACAATCAAAAAACTACTTGCACACTTAAGTGTTATTGAGAGGCACTGCTGGCTTTCTCAACTTAACTCGCTCTAGGTGAGCTACGTAGCTGAAAAGCACACCTTTCAACAGGAATGATCATAACCATTCGCCTACGATACGTGGTCTGCTACTATAGCTTCGACTGAACATTCTATTCTCACTCAATCAAGTTTGAGAGATGAAGGTCCGTCTTCTCTGCTAAAGTGAAGCTCCAGGCGAGCTAGCGTGCTGGGATGCACGACAATCGATAAGGCATGATCAGGCGCGCTAGGTCTAAATAATCTATACGCCTGATATCGGTCTGCTAGCAGAGCTGCGACCAAAAACCTAGCTGCATTCTTTACAATGTGTGAGAGGTCATGTTCGCGTTCTCGATTAAACTCGAACCGTAGGCGAGC